TCCAAAGCTGCGGCAGCAAGATTACTGCAAGTTCAAGGCTAGCCTGGACTACACTTCAAGACCTTGCCTCAAAAACACCAAAAAACTAAAAATTTTTAAAAATAAGTACAACAATTTTTACAGCATTAGTGCATTACAAGTTCATGAGAACCATGACTACAACTCATCAGTTTAAGTCCTTATTATGGAAGAAGGTAAAAACATGATTCTGAACATGGCTCTATAGCTTTAGAATTGGCCTTAAACGTTCTTGCATAAACAAATCAAAATGGCACCACATCTAGGCCCACAATATGATACACTGGTACTCAAGTAGTAGCAACTGTGCAGAGGACATCTTAGCTGTGCCTGCAAACCTTTCAGATGTCTGAGAGCCTAGAGCAGGCAGAGGCAGGAATGCTGCTCAACATACTACAGCCGCAGAAACCCCCACAGGGAAGAACTACCCAGCCTGAGGTGTGGAAAGCTTCTGAGTTTTAGACACTGCATGCACTCAGCATCCCTGCAAGGTACGGGTCCACTCTCCAGGACCAAAAAAACAGAAAAAAAGAAACTGCTCTTGTGGACCAGTAACCTCTTCTAACACACTTCCCATTGTAGCACCGATCTTAGTAAAATCTGAACTTCTCACTAATTATGTTTTATCAGAGGCTGGACACAGGATATAGAAATTCTCCCTTTCCGTAATATCAGTATTTGGCCAATACTTCTTTTCGTGGCTTCGTATTAAACTCATTTATAATATTTATAATACATATTTATAAATGCACTTATAATATGCTTTTTCTACTGTAATTCATACATTGTATTTTCTCTTATGCATTGTCTAGATTTCTTTCACATTTAAAAAGTTCTTAGGCTGGGCATGGTGGCACCTACCTGTAATACCAGCATGCTGGGAGGCTGAGGCAGGAGGATCTAAAGCTCAAGCTCAGCCTGGCCGACTTAGCAAGACAATGGGACCTTGTCTCAAATAAAATTTAAAAAATAAAAAGTTCTTGGGATGTGTCTTTATCAGGACAAGTATGAATTACTGCTACAGCCCGCTCCTCCTTCCTCTCTTTCTTCCTTTGGTGGTACTGGGGATTGAACTTAAGCGTGGTAGGTAAGGCACTCTACCACTGAGCTGTACCCTTTCATTTTATTTGAAACAAACTCCCACCAACATCCCCAGACTGGGCTTGATTTGAGATCCTCCTGCCTCAGCTTCCCAAGCAGCTGGGATTACAGCTGCACACCACTACCCTAAATTTGGTTACCATATTTTTTTTTAGCTTTAGGTTACCACTTTGAATACATTAAAATATACTATGTAAAAGACTAAAACTTAATTTTAGACCCTTAACTATACTTTATAACCTGACTAGGCAATTTAGTATATCTACATAAGTACTCTTCATAGGATAGTAAAAAAAAGTAGCCAAGTTACTTTCAGAAACACTTTCCTCCCATTAAAACAGAAATACTAAAAAAACTAAAAATAGAAAAATCAACCCAGCTATTCCGCTTCTAGGGTTTTGCTCGGAGAGGTCAAGGTGTCCCGTTACAGTCACACGTGCACACCGATTTCATAGCAGCATGACTCGTAATGGCTGTCTCAGAATGGTGTCTGTGTCCATTAACAGATGAATGGTTAGCAAAGATGTGTTTATACACAAAAGAGTACTGCTCTGCCATGAAGAGCAAATCTGAGTCATCTGTAGAAAAATGGGCATACCTTGAGATTACTGATATTAAGTAAAATAAATCAGACACACAAGCTTACATGTCATTATGGGTTCTCGCATATGAGAAACCCAAAGTAAAAATAACTTAAAGAGAAAATAATAGATAATAGGCCAGACATGGTGGTGCAAGCCTGAAACCCCAGCATTCTGGAGGCTGAGGCAGGAGGATCTCTGTGAGTTCAAAGCCAGCCTGGGCTACATAGTGAGTTCAAGGTCAGCCTGAACTATACAGTAAGACCCTGTCTCAAAAAACCAAAAAAACAGATAACAGGAAACAAGGAGATAGATCTGCAAATGGGAAGGGGACCAACAGCTGAAGGGAGGGGAAACCAGGAGAGAAGAATTAAAAGAATTCAGATGTGTTCTGTGAATGCACCACCTCCCTACAATGAATGTGCCAATAAAAGTTAAATAAATCTGTTCCTTATTTAAAAAACTGAACTCACAACAAAACCCTTGCAGGTGTTATACAAATGCACTTGTGTATCATGTCCCACAATCTGGTGTGATGTCTAAGTTACCTGCTATCCTCTGAAAGCACTGAGGTCTAGTAAGCAGAGCTACTGTAATGCCACTGTTCCAGGTCTAAACCGAGAAACCTGGAAGCAGTACGTCACTGGGCTTCAGAGCTATACCAGAGAAGCACTTTACAAGGGTAAAGCAGCACAGCCTCACTGCCAGTTTTATGACTAACAACAAAAAGCACTTACTGTGCACTATTTTTTGGGGGATGAACCAGGTCTGCTCTAAAGACGAGCTACATATGACCATCCTTACTGCTGACCACAAAGCTTAAAATTTCAAGCTTTGTTAAGTTTCAAGTTACTATTTTGAAAGACTAAAGATTCTCTTGATTGTTCAGAAATGTTCAAATACTGGCTTATTAATTAAATTCATATGCAAGACTTTTTAGCTGGGTACAGTATACAGGTCTGTAACCCGAGCACAGTGGGAGGCTGACATTGGAGGACTGCAAGTTCAGATCCTGCCAAAGTAACAGCATGATACCAGCTCAAAAAATAGAAAGGCCATGAGTTCGATACCCAGTACCGGAACAAAACAAAACAAAAGTAGGAAGAGTAAATGTAGCTCAGTGGTAGACCACCTCTGGGTTCAATCCCCAGTATCATATATAAACAAAAATGAATTTTTCATACAGTTTTCTTAGGTTACTGTACCTTTATTTTTGGTTCTGGGATTTGAACTCAGGACCTTGTGCTTGCCAGACAGGCACCTGTGCCACTGAGCTATATCCCCAGCCCTCTTATGTTACTCTAACACTCTTTAATATACTACACTTGGATAAAACAGAATATCTATTTCTTAGCTTGGCATGGTAACGCATGCCTGTAATCCCAGTACTCTGGGCAAGTTCGAGCCCAGCCTGGGCAACTTAGCAAGACATTCTCTCAAAAGAAAAACAAAGGAGGCAGATGCAGCTCAATGCAAAGGCCCAGTACTGAAGAAAACATAAAAAAATTTTTTATTTAAGGAAGTCACCAGTTTAAATTAACCATTTACTCTGATGAGCAGTCCCTACACTTACACAGTGGTGTCTCAGTTCACTAGGTGTGCTCGCAATTCAGCTGCAACCAGAACAGCGGAACAAAGTCTGACCAGAACTGTGGGAAGAATTGTGTTCACGAACTGAGGTGCCACTCTACAGATACCTCACCTGTTTTGAAAGTAAATGAAACATCCCTTAAAATGCACTAAAAAAGCTTCTAGTACAAAAGACACTTTCAGATATATTTCCAAATGTAATAATCTTCCGTGACACAAAACACACTGAAAGATACAAGTTTTCTAATAATTAAGCATGGTATAATCCATAACATTAAGCTTTATATTCTATAGCAGAGCTGCACAACAGATACGTATGAACCATGTATGTAATTTAAAATTTTCTAGCAATCCCACTAAAAAGATTTCAAAATGCTTTTTAACCCAGAACTGAAATTATTTACACATACTGTCAATTTTATTTGTTTGAGTAAAGATATTGCTATTAGTTAAGGCTGGTCTTGAACTGGCTATGTAGGCCAGAGGCCTCGAACTTGTGATCCTCCTGCCTCAGCCTCCTGAGTACTAGGATTACAGGTGTGCACCACCAGGCCCAGCTATGGCTAGTGGCTTCTAAACTGGACAGTGAGACCCTAGAGCAGTGGTGGCAAACCCATGTCACATGTGCCACAGGGTGCTACATCACTGAAAGCTCTGAAAGGTTTGCCACCACTGCCCTGGAAACTAGATCAAAATAAAGTCCTCTGCAAACTACTGATAAAAGGATCTCAGAATCCTCACCCCTAATTACCTGAGATTTTTCAGGTACAGCCTCATGTTAAAATCTGGATATTATGGAACACAGCAGAGTAACTGTTATTACTTTCTTTGACTCAGAAAAAAAATTAAATATCAAAATAGAGCTGGGCGTGGTGGCACATGCCTGTAATCCCAGCACTTGGGAGGCTGAGGCAGGAAGATCTTGAGTTTGAGGCCAGCCTGGGCTACACACATAGTAGTGAGTTCAAGGGTAGCCTCAACTATATAAACAGACCGTGTCTCAAAAAAGAGTCAAAATAGAAGCAAGGCATGGTGGTGCATCTCTATAAGCCCAAAAGTGTGGAGGCTGCTGATGCAGGGGGATCTTAAATTTGAACCTAGCCTGGGCAGCTTAGCAACATAACAAGACCCTATCTCAAAATAAAAAAAGCCAGGCCTGGTAGTGCACACCTGTGATCCAATCACTCAGGACACCTATAATCCCAGCATTTGGGAGGCTGAGGCAGGAGGGACGCTGTGAGTTTGAGACGAGTCTGAACAAAACAGTGAAATCCTGTCTGAAAAACCAAAACAAAATTTTAAAAATTTGGAAAAGGGCTGGAAATATATCTCAGTACAAAGCCCCGGGTTCAAAACAAAGATCGTGAATGACATACATGTTTTTTAAATGACACTGTTCAAAAAATAAAAATGACACTATCTCTTCCCTGAAAATAAGCTGACTATAATTGAGCAGTCTTACACCACCACAGCAGCAGCAGTTACAAGATAGGGAATGGTCAGCTTAAGAAGCTATACATTAATCACAGTACTCAGGAGGGTGAGGCAGGAAGATTGCCATAAGCTCAAGGCCAGCCTGGGCTGCATAAGTGAGATCAAGGCCAACCTGCACTACACAGTGAGACCCTGTCTCAAAAAAAAAAAAAAAGAAACTACACATGAACAAAATACTTTTGCATGAGGCTAAACATACTAATAAGTCAGTAATACCTTTGCAAACTTGAAGAATGGTCTTGGATCTTTCCTGAAATATTCAATATCAAACATTGCTTGAGGATCAGGAAGGTCTGGGAAGTCTACAGCAAGGCGAGCATAAATGCCATCTCTTGACCTGAAGTCAGGTATTCCACACGAGACAGAGACCTGAAATACACATACATTAATTTGGACAATGAAATCACCTACCTTTATAATTAGCACTCTTACAATTTTAGGGAAGAACTGAAAAATAGTTTTGATCTTTTTCTGAGGAATATTAATGTCCTACCAGTCTAACTTCAAGTAGAAATAAAGACTGAAATAAATGAGTATAATGAAATCCAGCACTTAAGTTTTTAATGGTGACAAGGAATTTTAAGTTGGGCTTTTTTTTTGAGACAGGGCCTCATTCTGTAGTTGAAATTGGCCTTAAACTTACTATGTACCGTAGGCTGGCCTACAACTCATGGCAATCTTCTGCCTCAAAAGCTTCCCAAGTACTCTAAATTGGGGTAATTTTAAACCTGTATGTAAGTATCTAACAAACAAAGCCATTGTAATTTAACTGAAAATGGAATAAACCTAACCAACTCACGTATTTTAACTGGAAATCACTCTAAGGGCTGGGGATGTAGCTCAACTCAGTAGCACAGCACCTGCCTGGCAAGCTCGAAGACCTGAGTTCAATTGCCAGTACGAAAAAATAAATTATTAAAAAAGAAAAAGAAATCACTCTCACATGGTCAGCATCCTATTACCTCAGAAATACTCAATAACTATATTCCAAATCAGGTACAGTGGCACCTGTCTATAATCTGGGTTTCTTGTGAAGCTGAGGCAGGAAGATCTCAAATTAGAAGGCCAGTATGTGCTCAATTTTTGGCAGCTTCCCAACACCCATTATCGTTAAGAATAAATTCTTCTAGCCAGTTGTGGTGGCACACACCTGTAATCCCAGCATTCGGAGAGGTTGAGGCAGGAAGACAGTCATGAGTTTGAGGTCAGCCTGGGTTACATAGTGAGTTTAAGGCCAGCTTGAACTACATAATGAGACTCTTATCTCAAAAACACCAGAAAAACAAAAAGAGAATAAATTCTTTGAAACCAGAAAAAGAATGTGCCTTAAGTGATAAAGGGATTGAAGAAAAAAACCCAGCCGCACACCGCCCTCCCCTTCATCAGTGCTGGTGTCTTACGTACCCCGGCTCCAGTCAGAACTATTATTTTTTTGCACTCTTGAAGTAATTTCACAGCGTCTTCAATTGTATTAATATCTTTTCTTTTTTTCCTTTTTGGTGGTTCTGAAAGGATGTTAATGACAATCTGCCACAATGTCATGTCATCCAGTTCAGGTGGAGGAATTGTTTCCGGTAGTAAATCTTTGAGAATTGTTCGAGGATCTGTGCCAATCATGAGATGTTGCTGAACAAAAGTATATGGACCTGTATTAAGGTGAAAAAAGACTTAGATCAAAACCACATCTTAGTAGCTAAAAACCTCATTCTATGAAGTGACAGCAACATAGGAGGTTTGATTTTTTAACAAAGAAATTGAAATGTAAAGTGACTTCATGCTCAGTACACTCTGCAAGTTAGTGCCACATGCCAGTGAGATTAGAGCAGCCTCATTAACAGGAGCAGGGTCTCCTTGAGCTGTAAGTGCGTATCTTAAGACTAAACGGGAAGAGGGTCACAGTTCAGGGCTTAAGTATAAAACAGGCCCTGATGTAATCCCTAGAAACAAAAAATAAGAAAAAAAAATATTTTTTAACAGAAAAGGGCCAAACTACTAGAATAAGTATTTTTTGTCTTGTTTTTGTGATATTGGGGATTGTTAAACTCTGCTACATTCTCAGCATTTTTTATTTTGAGGCAGGGTCTCACTGAGCCATTAAATTGCTCAGGCTTGGCTTGAACTTGCAACCCTGCTATCTCAGCCTTCCCAAAGTGCTGGGATCACAGGTGTGCACCACCACACCTGACTTCAAAATAAATTTTATGGTTAGAATCTTGAAACATACAGCATAATTAACAAGAGTATTTACAAAAGGGGTCTATAAGTCATTATAGAAAAGATTTCACTAGTTCTGAAAGCCCATGTTACTTTATCATCAAAAACACAGAAAAGGAAATGTATACCTAACTATCTTTTAGTTAGGTATACATCTAATATATACATCTATATAGGCCAGCTTGAGCTACATAATGAGACTATACATCTGTCTTTTAATTTTCCCCATAATAACCTTCAATTTGATCTTTACCTATCTCTCACTCATGTTTTTAGCATTAATAATAATTCTTTTACCTTTAACTTGCTAAGATCCGCTTCCTGGCTTCAGAAAATAAATAATATAAATACTGAAGAAGAACTAAGCATCACTATGTTTAAACAGTCAAGGCATTTAGAAATTTAAGAGCAAAAGAAAAAGATCACTTTCGGGATAGTTATGCGATGCCTTTGGCATAGAAATCTGGTATGAGGCCAGAAGTATAGCTCAGTGTTACAGCACTCACCTAGCATGTGCAAAACCCTGTCTGATCCTCAGCACTGCAAAATAAAATAAATACCTGATAATGTGCTCGACTTAAAAATAGGGGAAGGGTGTATGTAGTTCAGCGCAGAGCATGTGCTTTGCATTCTAAAGGCTCTGGGTTCAATGCAAGGAAGGAAGGCAGGTAGAAAGAGACAGAAAAAGAAAGAGATGGCACGAACTATGTGTCAGGCTCTTTATTTAGGTACTGACAAAACAGTGGCATACAAGTCAGTCAAGAACCCCTGTCCAGCTGTGCAGTGTAGTGGCACACCCCTGTAATCCCAGCACTTGGGAGGACGAGGCAGGAGGACGGCTGGAAGTTCACAAATAGCCTGAACTACCAACTACCAAGTGAGACCCTGTCTCAAAAGATAAGAAAAAAAGAATTACTGTCCATTTCTGCACAGAAAAACAATTTTAAAACATACAGAACTTGCTAGGTAATAAACATTAGGAAGAAATAAAGAATGAGAAGTGAGGAAGGAAGATACTCTAACTGGAGGAAGAACAAGAGGGCACAGGTGAACAGAACCTAAAGAGTAAAAAGGACCTTGCTCATGGAGGTGGGGTAGGGGTTGTTAAGACAGGGTCTCACTGTGCAGTTCAGGCTGGTCTTGAACTCACTATGTCGCCCAGGCTGGCCTCCAACTTGCAGTGATCCTCCTGCCTCAGCCTCCCCGAGCGCTGGGATTACAGGCATTCACCACCACGCCTGCAGGCCCTAGCTGTTTGAAAAGTAGCAGTCAGCTTCCAAGGCCTTAGGTGCTTAAAAATAAAGGCTAACGCCTAGGAGTACAGTTTAGCGTTAGAGCAGCCCTGGATTCAATGCTCAGCACCTCAAGGTAAATAAATAAAAAATAAATAAAATACCATAAACCTAAAAATCTCAACAGGCTACGCAGGGCAAAGAATTAAAAAGTATAAAATACAAAAAATAAAAAAATTTAAAAAGCCAAGCATGGTGGTGCATGCTTGTAATCCCAGCACTCTGGGAAAGCAAGGCAGGAAGATCTCCAGTTCCATTCCCTCCTAGGCAATTGAGCATCTTAGTAAGCAGCTGTTTCCAAACTTCAGAAAAATTCTAAAAGGGGTGCGGATGTGGTTCAGTGCGTAGGCCCTGGGTTCAATCCCCAGTACCACCAAAAATAAATAAATAAATAAATAAGCAGAACAGAATACAATACAAAGTAAAAAACAAAAACAATTTGCTCCCCAGCTGCATAGCTCTGACCCATACCTATCCGCGGCCTTGGCGTCCAGTCACTAGAGCTGGCATGCGAAGCCCTGTCATCCTCATCACTTTCACAGGAATGAAAGCCATTGGTGACAAGCTCATCACTTAGCAGAAGGTTATCTGCAAAGAATCACAACGTAACTCAAGGCTGCTGAAACAACTGGAATGTACAATGTACAAAGATCGATAATGGTCATAATGCAACCATTCTCACTGAATAAAGCATTTAACACCTGGCCGGCTGTGGTGGCCCACGCCTGTAATCCCAGCGCTGGGAAGGCTGAGGCAGGAGGATCACCCTGAGTTCGAGGCCAGCCAGGGCTATATAGTGAGTTCAAGGCCAGCCTGAACTACATAGTGAAACCCTGTCTCAAAAAAATAAAAAAGCAGTTAGCACTCATACTGCATTAAAAAAAAAAAAAAAAATGCCTAGAGGGTCAGCTTGCACTGTTCATAGGAGCGGTTTCCTCATCTTTGAAAAATTCTCAGAATCGAAAATCTCAGTAAAATCTAGAACAAAATCTAGAACAATTTATGTCTACTTAAAAATCGAAACCGCACAGGTGGACCAGATTGCACACGGCTCTGGGTTCCACCCGAGGGAGGGGATGACAGGAAATCTGTCAGAGAAACTTCCTCCAAAACGCTGTTCAAATAACCCCCGGGGCGTTTGCGCCCTTACACGACGCCGAGCGCGCTACGCGTCCCCGCTGCACCGCTTCTGACACACGGCCCGCGCTCTGCCGACAACGGCCCGGGGCCCGCCGAACGGACGACTGCGACGACGGCAGAGACCCCGTGGGCTCAGAACCGCGGCGTCAAAAGCAGAAGACCCCGCCGGCCGCGTGCCAGCGCCGCGGCCTCGGGGCTCGGACTCGGGAC